GGCATGATAAGTGCCTTGTGAAATATTTTCAGCCCCAATCCACCAAGAAAAATGCCAAGGATTGGTCCAGGATGATTGCTCTATGCAAAATTTACTTTTGTTGGGGACTTTTCAAGTTATACCCAGTGTAAATTTATTTGCTATCATGCTATACTTCAGGCATTGTTTAAAAGACATCCTGAGTCTCCATGGATCAATTCAAAAAGATGGTAGCATTTTTTCTCCTTGCAGAAAAGAAGGACCAATGTTGTAGATATTTGTTTACTTCCAGAAAAACTCTGGGAATTAGCTTCTACAGACATCATGCAATGTTCATTTTAACATTTCTACCTACCTTTTGTATTATACACACTACAAACAACAATAGGGAGTCATTTTACCTCATTCCAACAAATATATTGAGTGAAAAATACATAAAATGATGACGAGTTGTCAGGCCATCATCCCACTCACTCCGTTCTCGAACCTACGTTAGCGTGATTGCTCACTGCTTTCAAGGGTAACAACTCGATACAACGGAACAGCGACCCCTTGTCTTCGATCATTCAGATTGTATCTAATCCGCTAGACTACAGTATTATCATTTCTCTCCCAATCGAAACGAGCTATGCCCGCTGCAGCCACGCAAGAAACTACAAAACTCACTACTCTAACGACTGGAACTTCCCAGTAAGAACGACCCTGGCAACCACGAACCCTGAAGGGTACCCACCGTGCCTACGCCCAGACCCTCAACCGCCTCCATTTAAGCCTGGAGGCTGCCAGCAATACTCTTTACCTCTTCCTCCAATGAGCTCGCTAACCCCCGCTGCTGGAGACGAGAGCTCCAGAGCTAAAGTACGCAATACAAACAACTCTGCCAGCCACGAAATTGTAACCCCATTGACAACGAAGAAAAAAGGGAAAGGGGTGGCTATGTCGGAGGAACCCGACCCCGACTCCATGCCGTCTACAAATAGCAACCCTCTACCGACTACGGGACCAGTGCTCTTAGGCTCCCATACCGAAAACCCCTCAAGCCCCGCTGCTCCTACGAGCGCGAGTAGAATGCCCACGCCTTCCAAGGGTGTGTCAAAATCACCCGCTGCTCCTCGAAGCGCGAGTAACTCTAAATCCACCTATACCAACAAGGCGAAGGGTAAACCTTCCTCCAGTAGCGCGTCTCAACACACAGCTCCCTCCAACCCTGTGCTCTTGACGAATGTGGATGGCAAATCTAGAGCTTTGTCTCCGAATCAAGGGGAGCACAAAGATCAGCATGACCATGAGGATTGTCATGGACATGTTGGGCAACATAGGAGGCCGTCCAGAGGAATTGAGGATTCCTCTCAGTCTTCTACGACATCAAAGAAGTAAAGGGCATTCCCATTTGGGTGGAGCCTATCTCCGAATCCATGAATCGAATGTACGGAGCCTTCAATCCCGCCGTTGACGAAGATGTCCTAGTACCCCTAGGAGCTATTGATGGTGTTCTACCTGGACGAACAAAGGAGGAATGTGACTGTTTGAGGTGCGCAGTCGAAATGGTGTATAAGATGCCTAGGGATTGCCGATGGGAGTTCATAGGTTCGGCAATAAAGGACTTCGCCGCGTACAAACCCTCTAGGGAGGAATTAGTACGCTATACGGGACAAGGAATCCACTACAGGGTCAAACGAACTCGACTGCTACAGGTGGCTCAAGTAGTAGTAACTGTGGACCAAATTCTACAAGTGCTAGCCGAGTTCTTCAACAAACAAGAACGAGACCGATTTATACTCAATCAAGGATTCTCCTTCCTTCGATTATTAGCCTATCATACAAGTCGCACTGAAATCTTGGCTACTTACCGAGTGCTGCAATATCGTACTACTGTAGCATCGAAACATCTCATACAAGAAATCAACACCCTTACACGAATGTACAGAACAGAGACAGACAAAATGTCTATCAGTTCCTATGAATCTTCTAGATCATCATTACGGTCTCTTTACGGTGCTGGATCAGCGAGGAAGGAAGTAGGAAAACTGCTAGCCAGGCCGGAATACTTCAATCGAATGCCAGAAGATTTAATCGAAATCGCTGCATATCTGCGCGACAGGGCCTACAAGGATCTACGTAAGCCCCAGGAATTCTCAGTACATCGGTCGCACGTTCTAAGAGATAACGACGGAGCTAAGTCTGCTACCTCTAGGAGCTCAACCACTCCTACTAATGGTCCTACTCATGCGTGAAATCCCGCTGCAAGTGAAGGACAAAGCGGACTGGTGGCTACCACTTTTATGATAAAACCAAGGCAATTGCCTGCAGAGCTGTGTGTATAAGTCCACAAGTTTTATGAAAGGCCTTTCATAGATGTGTCCTGTGTTTTCTTTCTCATAAAGGCTATGTTCTTTTCATAAAATATAGGCAAGGCCACAGGGTGCTTTTCATAATTAAGCCTGTGTGCTTTCAATAGGTATTTCATTCACTGGGTTAGGTGTATTCATTGCCTTTTTCATAATTAATGCTGTGCGCTTTCATTGAATATTTCATTAGGAATTTTGGGTGCTTTCATTGCTTTTTTCATAATCAATCCTGTGTGATTTCAATAAATATTTCATTGACTATGTTAGGTGTATTCATTGCCTCTTTCACAATTAATGCTGTGCGCTTTCATTGAATATTTCATTAGGAATATTGGATGCTTTCATTGTACTTTTCATAATTAATGTTGTGCAATTTCAATAAATATCTCATTCCTTAGGTCAGGTGTATTCATTGCCTCTTTCATAACTAATGCTGTGCGCTTTCATTGAATATTTCATTAGGAATATTGGATGCTTTCATTGTACTTTTCATAATTAATGTTGTGCAATTTCAATAAATATCTCATTCCCTAGGTCAGGTGTATTTATTGCCTCTTTCATAATTAATGCTGTGCGCTTTCATTGAATATTTCATTAGAAATATTGGATGCTTTCATTGTACTTTTCATAATTAATGTTGTGCAATTTCAATAAATATCTCATTCCCTAGGTCATATTATGGTCCATCCAATGGGTCATTGGGAGGGTGGTCACATGACCAATTTCCAAAAATGGTAAAAAACAAAAGTTGTAGCTCTTTACCATAGCTTCCTGAATCAGTTGGAATTATGTCCTAAAGTGCTTCCATTGTGGAGATATGAGGTAAAAGGTTTTCAAAAGCGCCACGTTTTTTTTTGTTTTTTGCATTTTTCTACGTGAAAAGAACACTAAACAACATGATTTCAACAGATTTAGAAAGCTAAGAGAAGGGGCTACAACTATTGTATCGTGGGAAATTTCTCCCAAAAAGGTACATGCCCTAAAAGGGTAATTGACACTGACAGACTACAAAAGATTGCTGATATACTACAAAAGTAAGTTATAGCCTACAAAGTTTACTAATAGACTACAAAAGTTGGACATAGACCACAAAGGTCAGACAAAGACTACAAAAATTAGTAGTGTCTGCTTTTCTCATTACAAAAGTTAATATTGTCCGCTTTTTGAGACTACAAAAGCAGACACTACTAACTTTTGAGTCTCAAAAAGCGACAA